GTATTTGACGAGCATTCTTCCACTTGTCCGAGTGGAGTCTGCCGAACAGTTAGGCCGCGTACAAGTGGGACAACAACGGCGATACAACTCCTATTATTGTCCACCTACGGAGTACAAAGTGCATGATTTAGTATTAGTCCGTTTTCCCCATCTTACGGTACGTGGTTTATCTAAAGGGCTCCTTGCGCAGTGGAAAGGACTGTATCGGGTGTTGTGGCAAGTTCAACCACAAGTTTATGAGGTTTGGCATGAGGTCCAATAGGCCGATCCTCCAGAGATTGTGCATGTGTAGCGGTTGAAACGCTTCATACAAAGGGATCAAAAGCAGTTAATACCACCTACAGATCCGCCGATGCCTCCTCCTAACGTTTTTCCAGATCCCGGCCCATCTACAAGAGAACCCTGATAGTCTTTCATTATTCCGAGAGGAGGGGATGATGTGACAGCCAAGTGTACGGTTACGATGCCGTATACTAATATTAGTGTAGTGGGATTTTGGTAGCTGTCGGATTGGTTTCAATCCGAACCACTCACTCTTGTATATAAGCTAGGGTTTTTTGGGCTAATGGATATGCACATTTCTGTATTCCCTTTCCATATTCCAAGCACTCACAATATATATTTATAAATAAACATTTACTTATAAATTACTCATAAAATAACAAAGGACATTTTTTAAAGTTACACTCAAATGGATTTTATAGTAATAAATGTATATTCAGTAATAATAAATATAGTGAATTTATTCTGTAAATTAGGTCAGAAGGTAAAACCTCTATTAAATAGGAAATATTGCCACTCAGATCTAAATATTATTTAAATTTAAATTTTTTAAAAATACCTGTTTAATAAAAATATTGCCATGAAAACATTAAGAAATTATTCTTTTGTGTACCAGAATATTTGAAAATATTTTTAATGACTCCTTTTGCTCTCTCTATTATCAGATCTGTATAGGACTACATTAAGTTGTACATTCTTGAGGTCAGTAGGAAGGCATTGATTTGCTTGTTACAACTTACAAGTTCCAAAGGCATTAGTTTGGTTTTGGTACAAGATCCAGGCAGGACAACATGCTTGGAATACAAGGAATGGAGAGAGGCCACCTTGAAACAAAATCCATCACCTAGTAAGCTTTTAATAATTAGTTTCTTTGGATTGATCAAGCATGCCCAATATCTCTATTTGTTTGTTCAGAAAAGCAAATGCACTTAAATTTTGAAAGAATGTGAAGGTGACGTTTCCAATTTTGAACTTTTGTAAGAAAAACAAGTTACTCATTTTAAAAGACTTTTAGCTATACAAATATGTAGCTAAATATGTTTACTAGCAAACCAAAATACCAATTAATATTAGTGTTTAGACAATTTGATTGGTACAGAAGACCATACCAGTTGATTTATATTGTGTTGGTTTTACCAATTGCTTTACTCCTCTTGCATAACACTGCAAAGCAAAACACTATCCC